CCATCCCCCCTCTCGGTCGCTTCGCTCCCTCGACGTGCAGCAGGTACCACTACGCTAAAATAAAATCCTAGCTAGAACCCTGTGGTGTATGCCAAATATGTGACTGCTACTCTGTAGACACATGTTCAAGGTACCCTTATACTGAATTTCAGATCATTTGGTTGTAAAACCAGGGCTCGGGATCCAAAAATCCATTTTTTGGCAAAAAAATGCCCCAAAAAACCTTCATAAAAATATTTCAACGGCATGTATCAGAAAAATAAAAAAAAACTGGGGGTTTTGGCCCAGTCTACCTCCATGCCAAATTTCAGGTCATTTGGCTGACAAATGACAGAGTTGAATCCCTTTCACTGTTTGGCAGTAGGAGGAGAAGAAGAAGGAGAAGAAACATGAGAAAACACAATATATGGTATGGACTGAAATATAAAAATACAATGGCATAGAAGATGGCAATCACTACATGTACATACAGTCATGTACCTACCTGCCAGACCTGACATCCCAGCATGTTACAGTGTGGTCAAAAGAGCCTGTGATGACTTGGTCCCCTTTTGTGTTGAATGACAAGGAAATGATTTCTGCTGAGTGACCCTGCCAGGAAAACAAAATGTAAAATGCATAGTTAATCATTACAGTTTTCAAATGAAAGCTCCTCTTTGTTCATCTAATTTACAGTTGTAGGGTTTATCTAAACTTTCAAATTTAAATTTTCAGTCAAACTCGTCGACCTTCATAAATGATGCAATGAATGAATGAATGAATGAATGAATGAATGAATGAATGAATGAATGAATGAATGAAAATGAATGAATGAATGAATGAATGAATGAATGAATGAATGAATGAATGAATGAATGAATGAATGAAATCTACATGTGTATGCCCGGAGTGGTGAAACTTCTGAGGGAAGAACTGAAAAAAGAACAATCTGGTCCTAGACGTACTTTGTACATTCATTTGGAGATTTAGTGTGAGTCTGTGAGAGTAATATTGCTCGTAGCAACGATTTAATTCGATTTTTCTGACTTGTAATGTCTCGAGGTGTAGTCCTTTTAAGACCAAGTGCAATATGTAGAAATAAGACTACAGTATTTAGTAGTGCTCACTTGGATCTGTAGTGGGACAGTGTAACGTTGCTATTTTATCTAACCTCTTGTAAATATCAAAGAATGAGATTTTATTTTGTATTGTACCGATTTTAAGAGGCTCTCCAACGATGGAGGAAATAAAGAGATGAAATGGAATGAATGAATGAATGATTGAATGAATGAAACTTCAGGAATGCACTTCAGGAAAAAAGAAGTAAGAAGGAGTTCACATGAATTTAGATTTGGAAATTTGAAACTTGATTATGTGAGCCGTTACAAATATTTAGGACTCTTCTAAGATGAACACCTGTCTTTTAATACAGCTATTACTGTTCTTGCAGAGGCTTCAAGGAGAGCTTTAGGTGGGGTTCTGGGTAAAGTCAAGGTTTTAAAAGATTTGGGTTACTACACATACACACAACTCTATGAAGCGTGTGTTTGTCCCATCCTTGACTATGCAGCTGGTGTCTGGGGATACAAAACAACTGACAAGTGTTCAGTGGTGCAGAACAGAGCAATTAGGTGCTTTTTAGGGGTGCACAGATTTGCACCTGTTCTTGCTAAAACAGGGGACATGGGCTGGGCGCCCTGTGAAATAAGACAGCAGGGGTCTGTAATCGCTTTATGGAATACACATGTACACTAATCAATATGTCAAATGATAGAATTACAAAACAAGTATTTTTATGGGACTTTCAAAACCATGGCCCCTGGAGTAGAAACGTTCAGGATATATTCTGTAAAGTTGATCAAGAACATGTTTATCTTAACACATTGAGGGGTGACATAAGGCAAATTAAAGGGAAGCTTTTTGACTTATACAAACAGGACTGGGCAACCAAAGTACATTTGAAGCCTACACTAAGAACATATGCTCTGTTTAAAGATACTTACTGTATAGAAAAATATGTAACTATGTGTCTCCCCAACACCAAAGATCACTGTGTGCGCAGCTGCGAGCTGGTATTTTATATATCAATATCGAAACTGGACGGTACCAGGGAATTCCTCACTGAATTTCCAAAAGCCGGAAGCCTACCAATGTGACAGTCACTTTTCAGAGAGGGTTCATGAAAGCCATAAAGGTTCATTCATCTGGAAAAAGGAGTGGGATTTGACCAAAAAATTCATGACTTCTCTTTTTATGTTGGAACTGTGAAAGTTTAAACTCTACACCACTTACTATAAAATTGCAGTTGTTGACTGAATCATACATGTAGACTTCACAGACCAACGTCAATCACTATCTGTATAAGCCAGTTCATGGCTTCACAGGTGTGCATGAAGTTTGATGCATTGTAGGTAATATGTCAAAGTTGAAAGGCCCTATGACATGTCTGGAAATGCATTAAGCATGATCATGATCTAAGACAAGAATTGCTTACAGGTGAGTGGCCTCAGCATTCAAAATACCCACTCTCACAGTCTCGCTGCATACATGTAAGTCATGTTTACTGTGCATGTGCAAGTGCAAGACATATTGGAGACGCCAGGTTGCAACCATTTTAAACTTAACAATAGCCAAGCTTATGGTTACAGAGTGTCCTGCAATGATTAGCATGTGAGCTATGCTTTTAAACGTGACCTGGCTTGCCTTCTACCTGGCTGGTAAACAGACGATATTGATGATAACCGAACCTGATATATTAGTTTGGCTGAGAAAAAAGAAGTATTTTGAACCCTGGAACTTCACTCTTGCCCGCAAAGCACATGCAAAGTTCAAACAGCACATCACACTTGTCTGTCTGAATGGTTGCGAGATAGCAAAGTAAATGAAGTTAGAGTTACAATGTAGGTCTCTATTTGACAGTTTTCACAATTTACTAGTTTGACTACAATGTACATGTACATTAGTCAAGTGCATATTTATTACCGTCCAGCTTATTTCAGGTAATCGAATTACCGGCCAGGGTCTGATTTTATCTGATATACATTTTTTTTTGACAGACTTTCCTTTTAGTTTACTGTCAGCATAAAAACAGTATGAATCACCCATCATATACATGTACATCATCATCATCCGTAGATTCATGTACTTTTCACAGCTGAAGATCTTGAGCTAATTACCATGAGTGTGGAGATCTCTTGTCCGGTTTGCACATCCCATATCTTTGCTGTGGTGTCCATACTGCCAGTAGCTACTATGGTGCTCTGAGGATTGAACGCTGTGCACACCTAGGAATCAGCATACAACAATTATATAAACAATATTATACACCTCTATAGCCACAGTCATGGAAAAAAGAATGTAGCCTATCACACTTATAAGGTGCTAAGAGCAGATGACTATGATCACATTTTCAATCTCCATTGATGATGGGATTGGAAGCAAAAAGTCATGCATCGGATCTGTGTATTGATTCAGGCACCAAAGAAATGGGAGTAAATGTCCACATTAGACAGATTTCCTCATCCAGATTGGATGCTTTTAAGAGAGTACACTATGATCCTTAAAGGCCTGCTACATTGTAAAAATGTAGTTGCGTAAATACTTTAGGAGACCATTATGCTGCCCAAGCCCCTACCAAGGCGATGTCTGCACATGTTCCTAATTATGCCTGTTGAAGGACAATTATCTCATTTGGCACAATTTGTTTGGAAAAGAAACTCGATCGTCATAACATTAAGTAAAAGTTCTGCAAAAATCATGCAGATAGCATTTTCCTTACAATTTCAGCAGTATGACCCCTGAAGGTATGGTAACATTTTCCAGTCTCTGAGCTCCACAGTTTACATGTCTTGTCAAACGATCCAGTTGCAATCTTGTCACTGGAATATAATGAGACAATAACAAGAACAATTAGTAAATTACATGTATAACTGGATGAACAGTATATGCCTCTTTTACATGAATCACATTATTAACTTAACATGTCTATGATACCACTAAAAACTAAAGCTGACATGCACAGTTCTACATGTATGTTATAGGGCTTATTCACCACAGATGGTCACGTGACTCTTCCCCCGGCAGCGAGCATTGTCCGCCATTAGGGGGTGCAGCCTGGTGCCTATCGCTATGGTACGCTATGCAAACTCTTGGCGATAGTTGCGTGTTTTGGGCCACAATCTACGTTTTGAACACTCTTCTTGTTCGTAACATTGTCCTTGGGGTTGTTCTGGCTCCATGACCACGTCTCATGTTCTCAAGATCGGCTTTTATCGGCTTTTTTTGCTGATCAGAAATCGGTGTGTTTTACCCTGGCGTAGGGGCCTGTAGAT